CCTATTTTTTAAGCAAAAAAACTTCATTGGAACTCACCCGTCCCACAAAAAGTGTATCTTCTCTGTATTGTAGCAAGTTAACACCGGATATATCCAAGGCGTTGTTGTGTAGTGGATCTCGTATATTGGTAGTTTCGGCCCCCAAATCATCAAATTTTTACATTTCAAAAAATTTTAAATTGAGGTATTCCGACTTACTTTTTGGTAAAACTCATGTATATAAATTGCTTAGTAGTTATTTTTTACTGTGGTCTATGTCTTTTTGTGATCGTTTTGTGATTTAATTAATTTGTTATTTTTTATCCGAATTAGATTATTTATGTGCTAAAAAATTAGTAATAAAGATAAATTATTATTTTATGAATAATTAATGCTATGTGTGATTTTAATGCTGTACGTATATTAATATGAGACTTTATTATTGTTGAGTGCCCTTCTGTGTTATGTTGTGCCCTAAATTGTAATGTAGTGCCATTTAGCATAGTAAATTTGATAATAAATTTTATCTTATGGTAGTTGACTTTGTTCACGGCCATTTAGAGTAGTGTTACTTTAGTAGAAAAATGTTGGAAACTAACATATGACATATTAATATAGAAACTTTATCAACCTAAGTATCTGTTATATGAATAATTACTAAATTATCTTTGTAGTTATGAAATTAATAATTTAATTATCTGTTAACCCCAAAAATATTTGAAAAAAAAATGATAGTTCAAACACAAACTCTCTTGAATTTTAGTCAACAAATGTAAGAAAATAATATAAAAAATAACAATATAAAAAAATTGTCAAATTAAGTATTTTGATATGAATACTTATTAATTATATCATGTATAGTTATGAAAATTAATTATTTAATTCAATTATAACCAAAAATAGCTGAGTAAGAAACAAACATATAAAATAATGTAATAAACTAACATATAAAATAATAATATAGAAAATGTATTAACCTAAGTAATAATATAGAAAAATTATCGATTAAATATTAATATAAAAGATATTGCAATATATTTAAAGATGTAAAACAATTAAACAGAAAAATACTTTAATTAATATTTTTCAATTTACAGACATCGTCATGGAGGTTCCCCATGTGCATTCCTGACCTGCATCTCGAGAGATATTGTTGCTACAGGGCAACCATAGGTCTTCACACATCTGGGATGGGCAATGTCTATCCCAGACATTCCGTCCCAGACGTATAGACGATATGTGAAAGTTCATTAAGGACCACACACTACATCCCCGTATAGTTAGATGCCTTCAGGATACAGGTTTCTGCAGGATCATAGAGATTGGCCAGTTGTAGCTCGACTGGGCGTTGATCATGACTATGATAGAGCGGTGGCGACTGGAGACGCACATGTTTCATCTACCCATCGGTGAGGCTACCATCACGCTTGAGGACGTGGAGGTTCTTTTCGGGCTGCCTGTTGATGGTATACCTCTAGCTTACCTGCATGCTCTTAGAGACTATAGGGAATGGATTACCTTCATATGTTGCAGCGGCTCACCGGTTTCCAGCCAGCAGAGCCAACTGCATTGAGTAGTGCCAGTCAATTGCAGCTGACGCCCGTTCGACAGCATCTGGTGGCGATGGACGCGGATATTACGGATGATTCACCGCTAGAGGATATCGACCGGCACACGAGACTGTTGTTGTTGCTGATGTTTGGTGGTATACTGTTCCCGAACACTTCGAAAAACCTAGTTAGCTTGAGATTTCTATATCATCTGGAGCGGCTAGATGATTTATCGGGTTATAGCTGGGGTGCAGCTGTTCTAGGTTACCTGTATAGGCAGATGTGCCGGGCGTACATGGGCACCCAGAGAGACATTGCCGAATTTTACCGCTGCTGGAGGTGAAAACATAGTCGATTCTTTTCATGATTATAACATACATAGTAAAACAACACCTTAAATTTTACGTCCACAATCTATGTTAGGTTTGGGGCTGGGAACGGTTCCTGTAGTTCCAGCCACCGATCGCTCCGGATGCACCACCTCCACCGTTTCTCCCTTTAGCTTGGAGATTGGTTGATAGGAGAGCCTACGCATGCGAGGTCGAGGCTCGACATTATCTCCCTTATTACAGGGATTTGTTGGATTTACTTGCAGACGTGCGGTACATATATACTAAAGTTTACTTGGCTTGGCTTGATATGTGTTGCGTTTACTCACGATTCTTGTGTTTATTAAATAGTTCATATGGAGACCATACAGCGACACGGTCATAGCTGGTTTGCCCGATTATTACTTCCATGGCCGAACTATGTGTAGCTCTTCCGTCCCACTGATATGTCTCGATATAGTCGAGCATCATACCACCGAGCGAGTCCTTCGCCAGTTTGGTCGCCCGTAGCTTGAACCTATTCTGCTCACTTGGCATGGGACACATTACCAGCGGGATGATCGTTGCAGGGTTGACCAGACATACATGGCATGGCTAGAGGCCTAGATTGAGGTTTGGGATCAGAGGTATGACCTGATTCCGCCATACCCTTCACTTGGTCGTATGGATGGTGAGCATGAGTACATGGGTTGGTATCGCAGCATTACCCGACTTCTCGTCGGAAATCCCGTTCATCGCACTGGTGGTCGGTACATTCCATACGCTGGGAGGCATGAGGCACTGGTATGTTAATTGTTATACTTACTTATAACATTACATTATTCTTCCATAATTAATATTTTACATGTTATGTAGGCTATTGGCTTACTTCAGTTCTACCAGTTGGGACTGCAGATGCTGCAGCATACAGGCTAGGGAGCGGCAACTGTGCACGTGTTTGGCCGCCGGGTTACTGATCTTGTTGCCGACACATTTAGACGTGCCCGAGAGGATGGGCACTTAGGATACAAGGCTGCTTACCGCCTGAGGAGTACCATCATGGGCCACCAGTGGAGCCTGAACATGGTAGACATGACAGGCGTGGCCAGAGAGTAAGGGGTGGCCCACTAGGTCGTAGTGGTCGGCGAGGACGGGGTCCCCAGCAAGGGGGAGTTGAGGCACCCATAGAGGATATTAGAGATGATCACCCATGTGAACACCCTGAGCCACACGATGCTCCTCATGATATGCCGTCATTCAGCCTTCAGCTGTCGCTAGGGACTTCGCAGGTGACCCCGTCTGCTCCATTGTTGATTGCGGGCACGGCCATTACGCGGCAGGAGGGAGATCAGTATTTTCCTGATCCCCCAGAGCCATTGACGGTTGATGTTGATCGACTGATACGAGAGGTGCATAGTGGGCGACGATTGAGTTATGGCTCATCACCGAGGGATGCTGAGGATCTTTCACATACTTCATCTACTCCAGTGCACCTCGATGTTCCGACAGAGCATTGTGGCGCTACTCAGGCGTAGGTTTGTTTGTATTACTATTATTTCAATTTGTTTTTATGTCATTGATTAGTCGGTAATATCTAAAGTATTTTTATTTTTTTAAATATTTCATCATCGCCCGTCACGGAGGCCACATTGTGCGATACTGACTTGCCGAAGACGGATGATGTTATTCAGTAGCCCGATGAGACCATGGTATGACCATTAATATTTTTTTGCTAACACGTACATTAGTATTTTATATTTCATATACTAAAATATCTTATTATTCTATAGGTTACTGCTGGCCCAACGTTCACTTCTACCGAGTCTGCCAGCCTTACTGACGATCATGCTACAGCGCATTCTCCGATAAAGAGGCGATGTGATGAGGATGATCCTGATAGCGTAGCCGGGCGGGATGTGATGCACCTCAAGCCAGCCAATGCTTTAAAGCATATAGGTTGTGGGACTCATTGATATGTATTATTAGTTGTATATATGACATTAAATATATAATAGCAACATTATATATGTTTTACATAATTTGCGCATGTGTTTTTATTTCTCGGTATATTTATTAGTTGAAGACTAGAACACAAAAAAGAATGACAACTTAACATAAATTTAAATTCGTTACCAATTAAAGATAATACATGACACGTAGAGCATAAAAATAAATATTACACTAAACGCATCCATGTGTTTGTTTAGTCACTATCGCTCATTATATATGCTTCAACCACTTAAATTTCTCTTACAACCTATTTTTTTCTTCTTCTGCCTCTTTTAGTTTCTCTTTCACTGCCGCAAG